TTGACTTTCTGCATCTGTGACCTTTAGCCCGTAATGAGGACTCAGTGGGAAGTGGGATACTTGGCCTGCTTGCCCCCTCTCTAGGGCCACTGTGGAATGTGGGTTTTGCATGTTCCACCTGCTAGCGTTACCTGCTGGGGTCCTATGCTGTTGCATCAGTAAGCGGTCAGGTCTTTTTCTGGCTACTGCGAATGGGCACCCAACCTGCCCTTGTTAAATGGATGAGGCCAAAGTTGAGAGAAGTTCTGAGGGCAGTCTTTTCCTATTCTTGGCCTGGAGACAGACTTTATAGTATAGCTCCCTGCTAAATCTTACTTTCAGTTTTGCATTTCCTTTGTTTAGTTAGAGGGTTTTAATGGGTTTTTTTCTTTTCAAGTGCTAGGAGCCTTAAGCTATACTGAGGTAGACCCTTAATTCTGGCCTGTATAGGACAGGTGACAGCATAACACTGAAATGTATCCATTGTTAATGATAGAAATGCACAAGTTACCTATCCAGGCTGCCCTTGACTTGTTGGACCCAGGTGACCCTTATCCTGTAGCCTCTGGGATACTCTCTGGTGTTAACTGCCACGCTGGGATCTCCGTTGTAACCTTTCTTTATTACTATTTTTATTTATGTGCACTTATGTGTGTCTGACCCCAGGAATTGGAATTGCGGTCATTTGTGAGCTTACTCCCTCAGCCTCACCACATGTCTGCTAGAGCAGCCAGTGCCCTACCTACTGAGCCATCTCTCTAGCCCCATTGTAGCCATTTTTAAATGTATGGTTTGTCTTACCCTTTAAAAATGTTTCTCTTCCAAGTTTCCTGTAGTATTTTTCATTTTGTTCTAGTCCAAAACATTGGAAGTACTGTTGAGAGGAGAGTGGGCTTTGAACACTGGTTCTGGCTGGAAGCCCAGACTCTTGGTCTCTGAAGGGGGTTAGGGCATTTGTCAGTATGCTCAGTATGTCCGAGTGTTTGGTGGACACATAGCAAGCATTATGACCTCTCTGGCTCAGGTTTGGATTGGCTTGGCTGCTGCTTTCCTTTCACTGCCCCCCCCCCCCCACCTCCCCATTGCAGAGCACACTGCTACAGGAGAGGCAAACAGCCCTTTGCTCTAAGTGCCTCTGCTTGGTAGACTCCACCTTTGTTGACTCTGGGGCAGCAGATAACTCCCAGCTTTCCCTCTTGGTAAAATGGAAATTCTGGAGAATAGAGTCTAGAGCTCCCTGGTAAGAGCGTGCACACAGTGTGCCCAGAAGTCCTTCTTCAGTCAAGGCCTGACTCTGCCAGTACTATCTCTACTTTGAATTACACCTGTGACTTTCATCTAAAAAGAGAAACCCCAGTGTGGCAAAGTGCCAGATTTAGATTTATCCCGTCTGTCCTTGGCCCTGCTCTATCTCTTGTCTACCAGCTCCCCATCAGCTTCTTTACGGGATGTAGTATGCATATGACGTATGTGTGCCGGCGTGCATTGTGTGGCACCCAGAGGACAACTTTGTGGAGTCTTTTCTCTCACCATTACATGGGTGCAGGGGATCAAACCCAGATTGTCAGGCTTGTATAATGGGAAGCAATCACCTTTACCCACTGAGCCATATGTACACTGAGCTTATGTCATAGCCAAAGCTGTCAGCCATCTTTTTTTCTTCCTTCATTTTTTTTTTTTGTTTTGTTTTGTTTTGTTGTTGTTGGGGTTGGGGGTTTGGTCTGGTTTCTGTGTGTAGTCCTGGCTGTCTTGTAACTCACTGTGTAGACCAGGCTGACTTCGAACTCATTGAGATCTGCCTTCCTCTGCCTCCCGAGTGCTGGGATTAAAAGTGTGGACCACCACCAGACAGCCATTTTTTAATATGACCAAGTGACTGTACTTTCCAACACTAGGATTTTGCCTCCTGAACAATGGAGAATCCTATTACTATTGAATGGAAGACCTCCAAGTTGCAGGGAGGTAGACAGGCTCTGCTAAGCATTTCAGATAACAGTTGGGATTAACTGGAAAAAAACAGACTAGTCTATAACCCAAAGATTTGATGCTGACCTGACTGGTATATGTAACCTCTGACTTAAAGGGAAATTCAAGTTGTCTTCCTTATTCCTTTAAATGGAGTATCAGATCTTGATTTTGAAAGCTTTTGTTTCCTTGTAAAGAGAACTGATCTGCTGTAGGGGAAGAAGAATGTCCTGTCCTTGTTGAAGTCCTGGACTCTGCCACCCTCTGGTCTGTCTGAAGCTTTTTCAGGGAGTCCTTAGTCTTTGGTTCTGGTTTTAACAGAGGCTTGCTCTTAGAAGAGCAATGTATTTTCTCTTCCTCCTTTTTCAATTGTAAATGCTGTTTTGTAGGCGAAAGCACCAGAGCCAGCTTGTTGCCATGGAAACTACCCTGCCCTGCCCCCAAAGGCTGTTATCTTTTTCCAGTTTGAGTAACTAGGAGCTGGTTGGGGACTTTACATTTGCTTCCTAAATCCAGCTGCATTTTTCTTTTATCTTTAATTTTTTTCTTTAGATTTATTTTATGTGTATGAATGTTTTGCTTGTGTGTATGTGTGTGTACCACGAGTTGCCTGGTGCCCGAGGGAGCTGGGAGAGTGTTAGTGCCTCAGGCACTGTAATTATGAATGGTTGTGATCCACCATGTGGGTGCTGGTAATCAAACCCGAGTGCTTCTAACTGCTGAGCCATCTCTGCAGCCCTTGTTGCTGCATTTTTCATGCTTTTTTTTTTTGTTGTTGTTGTTGTTTTTTAAAGGCATCCGAAAGGAGTATGAAGGAGTATGTACTGTGTGGTGTGTGTGTTAAGGCATCCAAAAGGAGTATGTACTGTGTGGTGTATGTGTTTCATAGCCCCATCCTGTTTGCCCAGCTTCCCTGTGACTGCTTGGCCTTGCTGGGTTTGTAAGGGTGTATCTGTGCTGTCCTAGAAGACACAGAACTAGAGAATGCCTGTCTTTGTGGCATTCTGAATGGTACAGTTAGGAATACAAATGACTTCTTGGGAATTTCAATTTATGTAGACATCTCAGTCTTCTGTTCCTGTAGCCTGGACTCCTGCCTTCTTTCCCAGTTTCTTGAATCTCCCGTGTTTGTATGTGGAAATTTTTGTTCCCATCTTGATTGTTAGCAGGAGTCTTGTCCGGTTATATCCCTCCCCATAGGGCTAATGGCCCAGATTCCTCAGCTGCACCACCCTTGCCTGTTAAGAGAAAACCAGGGTAATAGAATTCAGGCACAATCTGGGCTTGAGAGGAGAGCTAGAGTTCACCAGGGTATAAGCATCTGAATCTCATCTTGTGCAGCAAAGATCTTATACTTGGGTGTTTTGGTGTTTGCTTATTGAAACAGGTTCTCCCTGTGTAGCCCAAGTTAGCCTTGAACTCATGGGCTTTATGTCTCAGGCTACAGAGTGTTAGGATTACAGCCACATACTGTTCACGCCTATGAGGACACTTTCCACAGACTATGTACAAACTATCTCATTTTGTTTGTTTCTCATTCATAGCCAGTTTGTGACTTGGACTTGAGCTTGTACTTTGTTGTGTGTGAAAGCCAGGGAAGTTGCTGTCATGAATTGTACTGAAGTCAATGAAGTTTAAGAAGTTGTTAGAGCAATGAAAAGGTAGTTCAGACATCCAGAGGAGTGGAAGTAGGTGGGATCTATCTAGCTTTGTTTATTTGTTTTTTTTTATACTGTTATCAAAGTATGCTATTCTTTCTTAAGGGAATATGGGGACTTATTGAAGGCTGGGGTGGAGGAAAGGAATCTTATCTTTATTTTTTAAAGTGGGCGAATGAGAGTGAGCATATGCAACACACTGTGGAGGTCAGAGAACAACTTAAAGAAACTGGTTCTCTCTATCAGTTGTGTTCTGGGGATTGAACTCAGGTCCTCAGGCTTGGCATCTGGCGCCTTCACCTGTTGAACCATCTTTCCAGCCTCTACTCCAGTTGCATTGGTTTGCTTTCCTATCAGGGAAGTTAGTCATCCTCCTGATGTTTTAATGTAAGATGACCAGAGGGTTAACAACTTAAACTGCAAACTAAATTAATATAGAGAGAAATATTATAAAATAATATAACTACTAGATAGAAATATTGTTGTTTGGTATCCTGATATATATATGCATGCCTGTAATCCCAGCATTTAGAAAGTAAAGACAGGAGGATCTGGAGTTGAAAGCTAGAAGCAGGCATCAATTTATTGAGTATAAAGCTATAAAGCAGAAATGTGTCTTCTGGCTTTTTTGTGTGTATGTGTGTGTGATTATGGAACTCTGGCTACTTTTTTGAGAAAGGATCTCACCATGTAGACCAGGCTGGCAGAGATCCACCTGCCTCTGCCTCTCAAATGCTGGGATTAAAGGTGTGTGTCATCACACTTGGCTTTGCTGACTCTTACAGGTTCTGGAATTTGAATTCAGTCCAGAAGAGAGAGGATAATAGTGTCTGAACAAGGAACTGAATTTTATTTTTGGAGACAGGGTTTCTCTGTGGTTTTAGAGCCTGTCCTGGAACTAGCTCTTGTAGACCAGGCTGGTCTCAAACTCACAGAGATCTGCCTGCCTCTGCCTCCTGAGTGCTGGGACTAAAGGCGTGCACCACCACTGCCCGGCAAGGAACTGAATTTTAAAACAGTGTTTCTGGGTCCGAGGGTACGTCTCAGTTGTTAGAATGCCAGTCTAGCATATATGAGCCCTGGCTTCCATCCTTAGCATAGCATAAACTAGACATTGTGGTACATATCTGTAATCCCAACACTTGAGAGGTACTGTATGGCATGTTCAAAGCAAGCTTTGAACACGAGATTGGGTCACACAAAACATTTCATGTATAAGAAATGGGAGTTCTTAGACGGGAAAGGAAGAAATTGATTTATTTATATTCCTGTATGTTAGATCTTTAAACATTTTATCTGTATTACTTGACTCTGGCTTCTTCATAGTGATGAATTCTAGCCTTCTGTCATATTGGTTCTTTTCACCAAGCCTCTGTTTTCATTTCCCATTGACTTAAGGCTGAAGCTGAGGTGGCCTCCTTGAACCGTAGGATCCAGCTGGTTGAAGAGGAGCTGGACCGTGCTCAGGAGCGCCTTGCCACTGCCCTGCAGAAGCTAGAGGAAGCAGAAAAGGCTGCTGATGAGAGTGAAAGGTATATGGAAGAATGTAGGGGAGTGTAAATTCCAAGAGTATCTGCCTGTGAGGTAGCTGAGTGGTGGGACACTCACCTGCTGTGCCTTAGGTGTTCTGGGGATTCATCCCCAGCACTCCAAACAAAGTAGTTGACAGTGGCTCTGACCTAGATTTCCCTCTAGACCTGTTTTGTTTGTTTGTTTGTTTTGTTTTGTTTGAGGCATGGTCTCATGTAGCCCAGACTGGCTTTGAACTCTTAATCCTCCTGCCTCTTTTACAAGCAGCTTTCCTGCCAGCTTGTTCCCAGAGCCGCGTCAGCCCCAAATAACACACAGAGGAGCTGTATTAAATATAAAGCTATTGGCCAGTCACTAGTGTTTCTTATTGGCTAGCTGTCTTAAGTATGAATCCATTTCTATCAATCTAAGTGTTTCCACGTGGTCTTATCAGAGAGAGGGTCTGGACCTCTTCCTCTCAAAGTCCCTACATCTTGAATCCCCTCTACTACATCTCCCAGAATCCTTGTCTCCCAGTCCCACCTATCTTGCCTTCCTATTTGCCAACAGTGCCTTTATTCATTAACCAATAAGAGAAACACATTTACAGAATGACATCTCCTATTACTGTCTCCACTTTCCAAGTGCTGGGATTACAGGCCTGTGCTACCACATCCTGTTCTAGATTTGTTTCTGATTTTGCAGATTGAACCCAGCATCTACCTTATATGCTAAGCACATCCTCTGCCACCAAGTTAACATTACCAGCCCCCATATCTACTTTTTAAATGGTAGTGATTTGTAGATTACTAGTGTTTGTCCTTCATGAGTTGAACTGGGACCTAACACCCTATTCCTCCCCCAAAGTGTTTTATAAGAAAATGTTTTAGCCAGGCAGTGGTGGCACATGCCTTTCATCTCAGCACTCAGTGGGCAGAGGCCGTCAGTCAAGAGTAGCCAGGACTAGAGGAGTCATGTCTCAAAAACCAGAAAAGAAAGGTTGGGGTTTTTGTTTGTTTGTTTGTTTTAGTTTAGTTTAGTTTTGTTTTTTTGAGACAGGGTTTCTCTGTGTAGCCTTGGCTGTCTGTAGATGAGGCTGGCCTTGAACTCAGAGATCCACCTGCCTCCCAAGTGCTAAGATTACAGACATGTGCCACCACTGCCTGGCCTAAGAGAGTTTTAAATTAAAAGTACAGGCACTCAAGTGCTGTTGAATTTCCATTTGTGTGACAAACAAGAATGGACTCTAAAGAGTATAGTTTTGAGTCCTTGGGATGGAGCTGGCCACACACCTCAGAGTGTCATTGCTGGTTCATCCTGTTTCTGGCAGAGGTATGAAGGTGATTGAAAACCGAGCTCTAAAAGATGAAGAAAAGATGGAACTCCAGGAAATCCAGCTAAAGGAAGCCAAGCACATCGCAGAAGAGGCAGATAGGAAGTATGAAGAGGTGAGTCACCTCTGCAGAGACCTGCTGGCTCTACAAAGACAGTCATGAAAGGGTATTCCCTTTGCTTGCTTGAGCTCTACCAGGATCCTTTCTTATAGGTGGCTCGTAAGTTGGTGATTATTGAAGGAGATCTGGAACGCACGGAGGAACGGGCCGAGCTGGCAGAGTCGTGAGTATTTTGTCTCCAGATCTTGTCATACTGTCCTGCCTGCTTGGGCACTAATTCAAGTAAACTAGCATTCCTTCGACCTTGTTAAACAGGCCTGGGAGGGTGGTTAGACAGCTTTAGCCTCTAAGAACGGCTTTGGGCTTTCTCTTACCTTGACTGGTAACAGGTAGCAAGGCTTGCTTATTCTTGGGAAGATTCTCAAATTGAGGGAAGGTCGAGACTAATATGGCATACAGCTAGTAGGAAGATCCTGTTGGGTCCTTTCACCAGCAATCTTCTTCCTCCTTGGTCTGTACTGACTTCAGACCTGGTCTGTTTTTACCACTTTGCCATTCTGCCTGGGAACTTGAGAGCAAAGGCTTTAGAGAAATCACCTGCTGCCCATTGGTACTGGCTTGGCCTTGTGTAACAAAGTCAGCATGGATGAGTATGTGTATGTGCTTGCATTGCATCACCCGCCCCCCACCCCAGACATGACATACCATGACCATGGTGGTGTTTTCTCCCCATTTGTTTGTTTATTTTTACCCACTCCCACACCCCATTTTGCGGCTTGTTTTCTTGCTGTTCCTTTTTTAACCTTTTCCCCACAACCTGGCCTGTGCCATTCCCGTGACTGTCACTAACAGCCGTTGCCGAGAGATGGATGAGCAGATCAGACTGATGGACCAGAACCTGAAGTGTCTGAGTGCTGCTGAAGAAAAGGTACTAACCATTGAGCCCACGGAGAGGGTCTGTGCCTGTGCTGTGGTTTTTTGAGTTTGATTCTGTTTTGCAGCTGTCTCCCTCCACCAGTTGATGTGTTAGTGCTTTCTCATCTCTTCATGGAATGCTCCATTCCTTTCCACTTACTTGCATCTCTCATCTCTTCCCTAGTTGCTTCACTGCCTCCCCCAAAGGGTCTCTGCCTCTCTTGGGTGATTTGGGGGGGGCGTTTGTGTTGGGGATCTGTTCCCATCTCCACCCCCAAATAGCAGCTGTAACTTGTCCCTGGTAGTGAGTGATTTCTCTCAAGTGTTCTTTCTTTATTAGAACCAAACATTCTGAGCACAGGAGGTCCAGCTCCTGACACACATGTTCCATGGTAGAGGGGGAGGGTTGATGCTTGCTCAGGTTACCCAGAATCTATTCTTCCCTGATGTGCAGTCCAACTCTCTCTACACATAGTTTCAATTCACATCTGTGTGTCTCTCTCCTTTTTTTTTATTTCTTCCTCTCCCCCTATCCTCTCCTGCGGTATTTAAAATATTCACAGTAAGTGTTCTGAGCTGGAGGAGGAGCTGAAGAATGTCACCAACAACCTCAAGTCTCTTGAGGCTCAGGCGGAGAAGGTAGGGCTGGTTTGTGAAGGTGACAGGCTTTGGGGCCTGGGCCCAGCCCTGCTCTTAGTGAAAGACTAGACACACCCATTCCTTTTAAGCCAGTGAATTGTCCTTTCCCCCCCAATCTCTGTCCACCCAGATTGTAGGTTTAATGTTAATTCCTAGCTACCTCCACTGCTTAGGTTCAAATAAGGCCATGGTCTCCAGTGCCTGGAGTCATGTGCTCCTCCAGCTGAATTGCTGTGCTGAAAGGCAGTTTTAAAGGGGCTGTATTGACTTGTAAGCAATCAGATGGGGTCAGCCAGCTCTTAGACCTCAGACCTACCTAGTAGCAGTCAAGACAGATGATTACCATTTACCATCACAAGGGAATGGATCCTCCTGGTTAAGTTGGAGAAAGGCAAAAAAACAGACAAAAAAACCCACTTTAGGATTTTAGGAATAAGGTCAAAATTTAGGTCTGTTGTTAACAAAAGAAAGGTCTTGGCAGAGTTTACTCTGTGTGATTTATGTGTGGAAATGGTTGGGTCTAACCCTTTGTCAAAAACTGGTCCTTGCTTTTAGTCCTGGACCATTTGGTACATCAAATATAGGAGAGTGTCTGAGCCATGTAAGACTCCCATGGCTGCTGTTTGTGTGCAGCCCATTTCTGCTCTGACGTTTGTGCTCTTCTACTTCTCTTCACAGTATTCTCAAAAAGAAGACAAGTATGAAGAGGAGATAAAGATTCTCACTGACAAACTCAAGGAGGTGAGATGAGGGAAGATAGAATTAATAATTTAGCCTTGGTTCTCAATGGTGTACAAGTGAGAGGGGAAGAAAAATGACCATCTTTCATTCTGATTGGTTGATCTTCTCTTTCCTCAGGCAGAGACTCGTGCCGAGTTTGCCGAAAGATCGGTAGCCAAACTGGAAAAGACCATTGATGATTTGGAAGGTATGGAGCAAGGCAGGGGGTTGAGAGAGGGGAAGGTCTTGCCCGTTAATCTTGAGCCTTTTCTCTGTTCATCAAGGGAAATTGGTAGTGACTTGGAATATATGTTGTATCCTGTCCTTTGTTATAATAGCTAAGCAAAGTAGGTCAAACCCTAGAGTTGATTTTTTTTTAATCTTTTAATACAACTTTACTTATTTCTGAAATCTACCATCTTTCCTTTGAAAAGATGTAATGTCTGTATTTAACTCTAAATTTAGTGGTCTTAAATCTTGAGTCTGAGTTGAAATGGAAACGGAACCCATGATTTTTTTAAGAGATAGTGAAGTCCTGTGTGTCATATGGCCACTTTATATAGTTTTTTATCACTCAAGTTGTATGCCATCTCTCCAGGAGATAGTAGCCAATCTCACAGCTGAACGGTGTCAGGGTTTCTTGTTCTTGATATTAGACAGCTGTGTCCATCCACCTTACCAAGGAAACAAGTCTTTTGCTTTGAGAACTCCCTGGATATGTTCTTGGTAGCTGGCTGTTCTTTGGGAGGCAGAGTGTAGCGCAAAGGCCCATGAATAATGATCACATTGAGTAAGCAGAGAAGTATACCATGCGTGTGTGCTTTCTCCCTTTTCTGTCTTCCTTAAGTGTCATTACTGATTCAGAATTGGGTGGGAATGGTGTCCCTTGGGTTCCTTAGTAGCTGGCATGTGCTCAGGTTCTCCGTTCTTGCTGCATTGATTTGGAGAAATCAGGAAGTACTATTGGCCATTGGGTAAGGTAGATTGAAAATGGTCACCATTGCCAGAATAGTTCAATTTTGTGTTTTTCCTTTCGGGTATTAGACCCACAGTCACATTTTTCCTATTTTCTAATGATTCCCTCTCTCCATCTGCTTCTGATACCGTTCACTTTATCCCCTTCATCATCCCTATGGTTCCTGTGCCTGTCCAGACGAGCTCTATGCCCAGAAACTGAAGTACAAGGCCATTAGCGACGAGCTGGACCACGCCCTCAATGACATGACCTCTATGTAACTATCAGGCAGCAGTGTGGGTTGGGTTCCTGGTCTGGGTGAGGGTGCAGACTGCGCAGAGTGTGCTTGGGTTTTGACCTTGAATCATAGCCTCCACCCACTTAAAAAAAAAAAACGTTGGTGCTGGTTATTTGTTTGGCAGAATCCAGGGAGGCATTTAATCTTGGATGTAATTTTCTCTCTCTTACTCTCCCCTCTAGTTCTCACAGGGTCTAGTTCTAAGCCATGTTGACCTCAAACTTCAAATTCTCCTAAGATTACAGACTTGTGCCATTGTGCCCAGTTCTTTGCACTAAGTTTTCATTTTTGTTTCTTAATGCTGAGCGTAGGGGCACACAGCTATAATCCTTGCAGCCTAGATGCTAAGGCAGAAGGATTGATGCAGGTTCAAGGCCAGCTAATGTTGCATGGCAAGATGGGGTCTCAAAAGCAAACCACAATGGACATGGTGGTGTGAGCCTTTAATCCTGGCATAGGCAGATTTCTGAGTTCTAGGACAGCCAGGGTTATGTCTAGAGAGAATCCCTGTCTCAAAAAACAAACTGAGAACACATACATACATCCTGATTTATGCCCTGAAGTTTGTGCTAATGTGGCATTTCCAGGGTTAGAAGCGGCCAGTTTAAGAATTGAGCTGAGTCCCTAAGCAAGCCAACCAGTGAACAGCACCAAAAGTTTTTTGGGGACTTCATGTGATCTCTAATGCTAATGTGCCTGTTCTGCCCACTAACCCAGAAGTAGCTGAGTATTGGACCCTCAGGTGCCTGGCTGTCCTGCTTCTCTTTGCCTTTTCCCTCTCCCAAGCTGCTGCCTCAGCCGAGCCAGCCCTTCTCACCTGGAGTGTCCTTTTTCATACAGATAAACTGTCACCGTTTCTGCTCTGTTCTGGATCTACCCCCTTTCCTTGGGGAACCCAACACCCCAGTCGCTCTGGATTCCATTTGGGTCGGCCTGGCTGGTTTCCAAAGCCTTAGGGCTGGGGGATGGGAGACACCAAAAGCAGTTTACATACTTGCTTTCACCCCCATCCCAAATTAAATTGTTAAGCTTCCAGAAGCCTCATGCCCTCCTGCATTTGTTATTGACAAGGCTGTTAAGAAGGAGCCCTGATGGTGTGATGTGGGGACGGCTGTGTTAGGCTGTCCCCTTCTGATTTATGTATAATCAAAGTTACTTTTGTGTGTGTGTTTTCTTGTCGTTTTAACTTGCTGATTGGAGTCTTGTCAGAGTGGTGAACTAGTAAAGGCTCCTCATGATAGGAAATCTAGTGCTACTCCTTAAAGACCATCTTAAGTCTTTTACTTCCAAGTTCTTAACTAGTCTACCTGGGACATTTTCATTTCCTTAGACCCCCTTCCCATATAGTAAGGTCAGTAAACCATTGAATTGTTCCCTGATATGCTACCCTTTTGCCAAAGATTCAGACATGACATCCTCAGAGCATACTGGGCCTGTGAGATTCATCCTTACAGTTAAATAGTTCTATCATCCCAGGTTACAGAAAAGCGTGTAGCATAATGGGTTGAATTTTCAATGGATGCACCTTTTGTCTTTAAACATTTCTCACTTATTTGAGGCTGCTGCCATTTGTTGAACTTTGTTTTCTAACTGGATATCATTAAGACACACAGTAGATGGTTGGAAAAATGAAAACAACCAGTCATGTGCACATGAGGGTAATGACTTACTATTAAATTTCTACTGGTGAAATTCTCTGGATACATATTGTAGAACTAAGTATCAGCACTTCAGAACTGTTCCAGTTTATACAGGGATGAATTTGATATTATAGCTAAGTGTTACATAGCATTTCCATTTCTTAATCAAGTTTATGTTTGAAACTTGCTTTCTCTATTTGTGCCCAGGGCTATTAATATGGCACAGTGGAGAACACTACCTAATGTGCACAAGGTTCTGAGTTTGAACCCCAGTACCACAAAGACAGAAGGGAGGGAGGGAAAGGAAAGATATAACGAGATAGAGAAGTGTTCCCTAATCTGAAGTCTCTAGCAAATAAGATTCCTGTACCTGTATGTATTATCTCTTCCTGTCTCGTTGAGACTGAGGTAGAGGTTGGAGTGCTGATGTTATCTAGATACGTTCCAATAAAGAGATTACTACAGATAAGGAACTGCCTGCAGGCTCGAGCTGCTCTGAAACTTGTAAGAGAAAAGGACAAGCCCAAAGTGAAAGCTGCTGGGTGAGCTGCAGATGGGAAAGTTTGGGGACAGAAGTGGGAGGGGTCTGGTTCCATGATGGCTCCCAAATTGGATTTTTTTTTTTTTTAAAGATATTTGTTGTTGTTTTGAAACAGCTTTGCACTAGCCCGGGCTGTCCTAGAACTCCGTATGTACCCAAGCTGTTCTTGAGCTTCTGGCAGGCCTACCTCTGCCTCCCAAGACATGTGCCACCACTGTGCCAGATTCAGATGAGATTTGTTTGTTGTGCCACTGAGCTACATCACCAGCCTCAGGATTGGCTTTTAATGAGCAGAAACAAGGTTTAAAAAAAAAAAAAAAACACACAATAGCTGCAAAGGTAGATTTGGGAGACGGGACAGTTGCTAAAAGTGCTGCAGGGAAGTGCCACTGTTGTGGTGAATGAGTGTGTGCTGTGACATGAGCACCTCCTTGCTAAGAAGAGTTCACCAGATAGCTACGAGGACATTGTTGTATCTGGGTGTGATGGGCAAGCCTGGAATCCCAGCATTCCGGAGGCAGGGTTCAAGGCTAACCTGGTCTACAGAATGAGTTCCATGACAGCCAGGGCTACAGAGAAACCCTGTCTCAAAAACAATCAACAACAAAAAGACCAACTATTAGAGGGACAGGAGAGGGGAGGGAAACCACAAATAAAAACTTCAAGGCCACACCAACCTATATAATAAGACCCTCAATGAAAAATAAACAAGGTGAGGTACGGTGATATATACTTTACATCCTAGCAGGTAGATCTCTTAAGTTCAAGGCCAGGCCAGTCTACTTGTGGAGTTCTGGGCCAGCCAGTATAGTAAGATTCTGTCTTTAAAAACAAAAACCACCTGAGCTGTGGTGATATACACCTTTAATCCCAGCTGAGGCAGTTGGATCTTTGTGAGTTTGAGGCCAGTCTAGACTACAAAGTGAGTTCCAGTACAGCCAGGGCTGTTGCGTAGAGAAACCCTATCTTGAAGAAAGAAAAAAAAGTGTGTGTGTGTGTGTGTGTGTGTGTGTGTGTGTGTGTAATTGAGAACACATTAACAGTGTGCTGACCCCAAGTTGCAGGCATTTTTTTCCTATGCTAGCTGTCATTGGCCTGTTATTACCTTTGTTCTTTTCAAATTCATTCTCAATTTCAAAATGTTTTATCTAAAGTTCACAAAGGTATACTATGAGTGCACACACCACTATCCATGAATATGCAATGCTTTGGGAAATACTAGGTTAGCTTGCAGGTTTCTGGAGAGTGATTGGGGCTTGTTCTGGGTTGTGCTAGTAGGAAGATTTCTGAGCTAGCATCTCACTTTGAAGCCCAGGCTAACCTGAGACGAAACAACCCTGTCCCCTCAGCTTCCAAAGTGCTGTGTTACAGGCGTGTATAGCCATACCTGTGAGATGGATACTCACGGTCCTGACAAGTACTTGTGTGGAAGTAAAGTTCAGTTACTGGGTTTGATGCTGAAAAGGTGATTTAGGAGAGAAGCATGTGTCTGACAAACAGGGTGAAGACAAGATCCTGAGGCTAGAATGGGGGGTGTGGATAAAAGAGATTTTGGAATCCAGAGGGATTGCAAAGAGTTGTAAGTAACACAAACACCTTAGAACCATAAAGAACATTTACAGACACCGGTCGTGGTGGCACACACCTTTAATTCCAGTATTCAGGGCAGACACGGGCCAATCCAGTGAGTTCGAGGATAGCCAGGGCGACATAAGAGACCCTGTCTCACATACAAAGAGCAAAACAGAAAACAACAAAGTCAACAACTGCAGGTGTAAAAAGGATTAAATATTAAAAGAAAGGCTTGGCCAGCCTACGGAGAGTTCCAGGACAGCCAGTGCTACACATAGAAGAAACCTTGTCTCAACCTGCCCCCCCCACACACACACACGGAAGTTGGGGGGCTAGAAGGAAGAAGAGTACTGATGACTCTCAGCTACAGCAGATTGACAGGACAGCTACAACAGACATTCACTGCTTTAGTAATTTGAGGGTATGCTTTGAGCATTATGGGGAAGGAAACAACATATTTAAAAGACAGTAGAGCACCTTAAAGGAGTTGTACCCAGTAGAATTTGGGCACTGGTATCCAGTACAATAATCACTTGCTTCTGTGCCTGTTAAACGTGTCTTGTGGTTAGGCTAGAATTCCAGATTTACTTTTAACTAAATAAAATTTAATGTAAGTAATCCCCCAAGACCATTGCTCAGCACAGTTTTAGCCATTTAGAATAGGTCAGGAGTTAGTTGGAAGATCAAGCTGAGAATTTGGTGAGACCCTATCTCTAATAGTAGGATAGGGCGCTATATAAATTAGTATGTATGTATGTATGTATGTATGTATGCATGCACACACACATAGCTGAGTGGTAGATTGCCTAGTGTGTGCACCATTTAATAAACAATGAGATAAGAACAGGGATGGGGGGGGGGAAGAGCTCCCTTTCTTCTTTCTGGTAGTTTCTACTTTACCCTGTTGGTAGGTCTCTTTCTACAAGAAAAGTAAAGGTATCTTCATACACTATGTGGTACTAGTTTGGGTCCTTTCTTTGGAATTCTGTGTCCTAATGCAGTCCTCCTGGTTCTTGTCAGGGCGGGGCCCCTTAGGCAGTGATCAGTAAGTTTATTCTTCCCTTGTTGCCATTGTTGTGGTGAGGAACAGATGTGCTTGGACTCCTGTGCCTGGCAGTGGAGCTTCCCTACATGAATAGCACTGCAGTTCCTTGGGATTCCTTTTTAATTTATTGTGTGAATGTGGGTGCCACTTACATGACCAGATAGACACACATGTGGAGATATGTAGGTCAGAGGGCAACTTGTAGGGACCACCTTTCTTTCCCAAGACGGGTGTGGGACTTTAACTAAGTTGGATAGGGATGGGCACTATCCATAGGAAAGGAACTTCGTGAGTAATGAGCTGAGACTCCTCAGTCAAGCCAGCCCAGTACCAATCCTGTTGGAGTTTATTGACTTGATTACTCTTGTCATGTAAGGGTGATTATGCACACAAATTCTGTACATAAGCATATTGCTGCCCTCTGGCTAACACACACCTATAGAACCTTCTGGTCATTGTGACAGCCAAAACCTATCTCTAGCCAAGCATAGAGGCACACATCTATAATGAAAGCACCTGGAAGGCAAGGGGAGGAGGATTGCACAAGTTTGAAGCCAACCTGAGATATATAGTCTTAGAAAAAACAGGACACCACCCCCCCCCACCCACCCCCCCGCCCTACCTGTGCTCATTCCCACATGTTTTCCTGGAAGAGAGGAGGGACAGTGCAACTTCCTAAGAAAGACTGCTTTAGCTAGGTGATTTGTCCCTCTGATGCGTCCTAGCAAGAGAGCAAGGCCTGTATATAAATAAGATCTTGTCCCACCTTGAAACCAGAAATTGAACTTGAACTTTGGGAACCAGGTATGGTGGTGTAACACCTTAGTCACAACACTGTCTGCCCGATGCCAGACTCCTTGCATAGTGCTAAACCTCTAGGATGTCAACTTGTGGGTCATGACCCCTTTGAGGACTTCCTATCCAATATCCTGTATATCACATATTTATATGATGATACATAATAATGCAAAAATAGGTAGAGGCAGGCAGATCTCTGGTTATATGGTGAATTCCAAGACAGCCAGAGGTACTTTGCCACACCTTACCACAAAAAAATAAAATAATGTGAACTTCAGAGACTGATAATAGGGGTAGGTCAAGAATAATTTGCTTTCCTATCTCCAAACTCTGTTTAAGATGTATCTACAGTTATGTGGGGTTGTACACCCCTATAATCCCAGTCAAGATCAAGGTGGAGATGAGCCAGGGAGCCAGAGCAACAAAGCAAATACTATCTCCTTAGTGGTGTGGAGACGAAAATCTTTATTATCCATTTCCCCTTAAAGATGTGCTCCAAGTGGAAACCCCAGATAAAGGCAGCCGACCTGAGCACTAATTAAGTGTGCACCTAAGTAATGTTTCAGGTTATAAGATAAAAACATAGTAGCAAGAGAATTTTTTAAATTGTTTATTTTTCACATTCCAGTTTGTTTCCCCTCCTTTCTCCTCCCGCTCCCCTCCCATCTGCTCCTCAGAGAGATAAGATTATTTTTATACCTAAGGAGTCTAGCCACTGATAAGTAGCTGTACCCTATGAATACTAGTTTTTGTTGTTGTTGTTGTTTTAAGATTTAAATATATAGAGCTGGGCATCACATTTATATTCAAAGTAAAGCCTCAGCTTCCCCTCCTTACTGGCCCAAGTTGGAAGCTGTGACCACCCTTGGCAAGGAGCCAATGTAGTTATTCTTAATTGCATTTTATTTTGTGGGGGTATTTTTTCTGCCTGTGTGTATGTGTACCACATGCATGCCTGGTGCCTTCAGAGTCCAGAGAGGGCATTGGATTCCCTGGAATTAGACTTCCTGGTGGTTATGAGTTGCCATGTGGGTGCTGGGAATTGAATCCAGGTTCTTTGGAAGAGCAACCAGTGCTCTGAACCTCTGAGCCATCTTTCCACTCCCCCACCCCCACCCCCCACAATAGCTATAATTGGCTTGGATCTTTTTGGCTGCTGGATATACTGCTGACCCTAATAGGTTGAGTTTCTTGTATATAAGGGGAACCTGAACAAGAGTTGGGGAAGACTTTAGGATATGCGTGTTAGATGATTCTACAGTGAGAAGCACTGGAAAGTGAAAGATTGAGTGGGTGAGATAGTTATGCACAGTGTTGTGTTTGGTCCTTTTATAGGGAAAAGGTTGAGGTGTTCCTTTGGTTTTTCCAATCCCTGGTGACTGAATAGTTCTTTCTATGCCCACTGTATCTGCCTTGTGACTCTTAGCCCAGGGTACAGATAATGTGAAGAAAGTGTTCTTTCCCATTCATAATGGTCCTATAGCTGATACTCTTACTGTATCCCTCTGTTGGTCTTTCCACCAACTGGCTGACTCTTCTGCCCTGAGTACCTGTACCCTCCTGCCACACGGTGCATGCTACATAGACCAGCTAGTTGAAAGACACGTTTGCCTCTGCCTTTACTAACCTCCCCTTCTCTCTCTCTCCTCCTGTCTCTCCTCTCCTCTTCCCCTCTCTCTGTTGCTGCTGCAGAGCGTCTCTACAGCCAACTTGAGCGAAACCGCCTGCTTTCTAATGAGCTGAAGCTAACGCTGCATGATCTGTGTGACTGATGGGCAGGGCTCCCTGATGCCCAGTAAACCCACACCACTGACCTGGACCCCAGCAAAAAGCTGATTGTCTTTTTAAAAAGTTACTGCTTTGCCCTAAGCAAGTTGCTCTTTAATGAGGGCAGTTAGAATGCTGTTGATGTCCTGACAGCCCCCATGAAGTTGCAATGGCTGTTTCTATTTTAGAAGAAAGGGGCCTGGAAGATTTAGTGGGGGACTTGGGGGAACATTAGCTGCAGCCTCTCTCTCACCTGTGCACAGACTGTAGGGTTTGCACTTTCGCTTGGATATTTCCTAACAATAAAAAGACTGACTTGACAAGATGTTGTAACTGCTTCATCTTCAGGCCCAGATGTGGGCTCTTATGACTGGGGGGAAACATGGATGGGGAAGAAGGGTGTGCGGCATGAAAATGGGTCTGGTTTTCCTCTCTTCCTGAAGCTCCGTGGTTTACTTGCTAAGCAGATGAAGTGGTTGGTGTCTTAGCACTGGTTTTCTTTCTCATAGCTTTCCTTCTTGCTGCATCTCCATGGGCTTTGCTTACGAGAATGTGTCTGGGTAATATTCTTCTTAGACCTGAGGACTTCTCCCCACCCTCCCAACCCCTTCTCCCCCTTTGTAGAGAAAGTACCTACTACAGGAGGGTCTTCCTTGCTCTTTACTAGGTATTGGTGCTTGTCCTTACCTACAGTGCTCACACTTGTGGCATTTCAAGTAGACACTGACCCGAGGGCAGAGGAAAGAGTGGGTGTCTGGTGCTTTCAGCCCGAGCTTTTTCAGACTGAGAGCTTAATGCTTCCTAGTTGCCTGTGGGAGGGAGAGGAAATGGCTGATACGCCCCAGTTCCCTCCCCTAGGCACTAGGCATGCCAGAGTGAGTCCCCACAGAACCCAGGGATGCAGTAACTGGCTCCTGTAGCTTCCTTCTATAGTGACTGGAGAAAGTTTCAGAGTGAGGAGAGCTTGAACTGACTTCTGTAATTCCTCTCTGTTCCCACTAGATAAGCTGAAGTGCACCAAAGAGGAGCACCTCTGTACACAAAGGATGCTGGACCAGACTCTGCTGGACCTGAACGAGATGTAGAGCACCCCAGCCCCTGCCCTGCGACTGCTCCTCCCTCTGACCCTGACTCCGCCTGAGGCCAGCCTGCCTGAAGCTGACCTTGAAACTGAGGGCTGATCTTTTTAACTGAAGGCTGCTTTCCCCTCCTGCCACCCCCCTCTACCCCCTCATGTCTTTTTCATAAAACTGTGTCAGCCTCTTCCCAGAGTTCCAGCTGGAGGGGCTGAGCACGTTTGGGAACAATATTTAAGGGAATGTGAGCACAATGCGGTGTCTTCAGTGCACTTGTGATATTCATATTGTGAATACTTTTTGTCTTAGCAGCCATTTTTAACATTCCAAGCACTTCCACAGCTTGGAGCAGCAACCCAGCTCCTTTTCACTGTTGAAAGGTGACATTTCAGCCTAATGGACTCCGCTCTCCATAGAGGAGGAGCACAGGACTGGGCCTGCCTCGCGACAGCCAGCAGAGCCCAGGCAGGCTCCCCTGTGGGAAACCTCAGTTCTCCTCACCAAGTCCTAGCCAAACAACAGGGGATCTAGAAGTTAGCCAAAAAACAAACAAACAAAAAAAACAAAAACAAACAAAAAAAACCTCTGCCGGGCTGTGAAGGTTTTCAGCTTTGATATCTTTGAATAACTTTAACCTTGTTTTTATTTTTTACCTTTTTCCATCAGATGTGACCAAATAAGATGGTGAGCCGTCCAAGACACCCCCACCTCCCAGGGCCATGTGCATGCTAGGCGAGCGCGCTACTGTGCGCCCAGCCCTGAGACCAAGCTTGTCTCATCTCTACCCCTGTCCTAATTGCTCACAGAATGGACCATGTTGTCACTTGATGTTGAGGTGACCACTTATTGTGTCCGTGTCTCCCCTCCCCCAGAAAAGGAAAATTATGTTTGTGCCACTGATTTAGCCACATGGGAGTCATCTCATATCCGTTCCCGAAGCTGCTGTCTCTAAAGTGCCATCTCATTGTGCTTTGTATCAGTCCGTGCTGGAGAAATCTTGAATAGCTTATGTAAAGAAAACTTTTTAAATTTTATATTACTTTGAAATTTTGCTTTTGGGGGTTGGGTTGTCTTGGTCAACCCAGCGGCTGTGAGGATTCTTTGCAATCTGTGGGCTGGTGGTGTGCTGATCTCTCAAGTGTCCCCACCCAATTGCCATGTTCAAATGGTCTCTTCGAGGCCTGTTAGGTGGGCACGCTGCAGCTTACTGGCTTATTTGTACTCTCCTCTGTCGGGAGAAAGAACCCCATAGTGCAACTGTTTTGATACTGAATATCAAAAAGCGACATTTTGAAATAAAGAACCAGTCCCTCCACCTTCCGACCGACTTCCTTAAACCGAGTGTGCTTTCTCCACAAGGCCACAAAGACTGCACTGAAGGCTTTGTTTGTGCTTGAAAGCCGAGGGGCCTAACATAGAGCATACACTGGGAGCAGACAAAGATGAAAATGGGTTCAGAATGTGGCTTGGTTGTGGGAGATGGCACCCATGGTAGACCACTTGCCCAAGCAAGCATGATGACCTGAGTTCAGCCTCCAGCACCATAGTAAGCAGCTGAGCATAACACATCACCAGTCCAGAGACAGGAACATCCTGGAACTTACTGGCCAGCCAGTTAGCCAAATCAGTAAGCTCCAAGTACAGGTTAGACCCTGTCTCTAATGGTGGACATGGTGTCACACACCTTTCATCCCAGCACAGGGAGGCAGAGGCAGGCAGATCTCTGAGTTCAAGGCCAGCCTGGTGTGCAGGGCAAGTTCCTGGACGGCCAGGGCCACACAGAAAAATCCTGTCTGGAAAAGTAAAACAAAAAGACTGTCTCTATGGTGGTTTGGGGCTTGGGAGCACTTGCTTTTGTAGAGGGGGCCCTGAAAAGGGAGGGTCCCTGCATAAGTGATGACAGCCATCTGTTGAGTCTCCACATACTTACTTGGTTTTCCAAGGCAGAGTTTCTCTGTAGTCCTGACTGGGCTGGAACTCTAAATCTGTCTGCATCTACCTCTGAATGTTCCACTACATCTGGCTCAAAATATTTCCTTTAAAAAAAAAAAAAATTAGCTCCTAAATTTTTGTATACTCCAGACATGATGGCTCATTCCCATAATTCCAGCAAGGGTGGGAGGTCAGGGGTGGTAGATTCAGACCAGTCCTGTCTACAAAGTGGAACAGCCTCAAACCAAAGAGGGGCAGGGAGGTGGCTCAGTGGTTAGAGACATTAACTGATTGAGCCTAATGACTTTTTGGGTTTGATCCCCAGGATCTAGATAGAGAAAACAGAATTGACTCCCGGTCAGCTTATGACCACCACACCCAATGTGATAACACACCCACTCGTACACCCATTTTTAAAGGTAGTGAGGGTGGAAGTATGTCTGGACGTAAGTTATTTAATATCACCTGTACAATGAAGGCAACATGAGGATAGGTCACATAATCTAACAGACTTAACTACACATGTCATTACAGCCATATAACTGGATTTATTAATGACTCCTGAATACATTCTCATTGTAAATGCTGGGAGAAAGCAATTTGTTTTTGCTGGTGTGTGTGTAAGGGCATTTCATGGGGGCCACAGGGGCTGATACCACATGAGTTCCTCTGTCACTATTTCTTGAGGCAGGGTCTCACTGAACCTAGTGTTCACAGATTGAGCTAGACTGGCTGGCACTCAAGCCCCTTCTGTCTTTACCTCCCCAGTGTGCTGGGATGAGAGGCATGCTTTTTGTTTTTATGGGGGGGGGGTGTTTTGAGGCAGTTTCTCTGTAACGGAGCATTCTGGCCTTGAACTCACAGAAATCCGCTTGCCTCTGCCTCCTGAGTGCTGGGATTAAAGGCATGAGCCACCACCATCACCCTGCTGTACCCTGCTTCTATATGGGTGCTAGGAACTCCAGTCCTCATGCTCACTTGACAAGCACACCACCACCCTGCTCCTTTGGGAAGGTTTGCTTTGTAGAGTAGGCTTCTTGATCCCCCTGCCTCAGCCTCCTGATTACTGGGATGTGTGACGCCACACCTCACTAGAAAACAATTGCTCCTAGACAGTATTTTGATGAGTCGGGTTGCATGAGAAAATGGCTTTCAAAGCTGCATCTGAGGCCAGCGTCCATTATCCTGCACTGTGGTCTGGAAGCAGGACATAAATCTGATTCTAGTTAAAATAACATACCTTGACTAAGGCCAGCCCTTCATGCTTGAGACTGACTTGTTTCCATTTGTGGCCCAAGACTAATGCTGACTTGGGTTTTTGTTTTTGTTTTTCTTTCGTATTAGGGAGTGAACCCAGACCATTGGACATGCAGGTCATGAGTTTCACCCCAGACTTGCCTGTTTTATTAAAAATATTAAAATAGAACCAAACAATAACATGCGAGGCTAAGATGGGAGGCACTGCTTGGATATCTGAACCTTTCTATCTGGATCTTTGCTAGTAAAGTTTCCAATCAAATATTTAGTAAAATAGTCTTTTGGTCAGTGTCCGAAGTTTACATGTTAGCTTTTGTCGCACTTAAAAAGTACCCACAATTCCTAGCAAGAAAGGCATCCGCTGACGTTGTGGCTGCGGATTGGTCGGGGTTGGTGCGAGCCCGGTAGTTGAGTGGGAACCTGAGACCAAGGCGGTAGCCATGATTGGCTCCAGGGTTCCTGGACCCCAAAACTTTAGGCTCTTTTTCTTTCTGACTCCACACCACCTCTTCCTGTTTTTAGTTGGGACCTTAGCCAACAAACTCAATGTGCCACAAGTGTTACTGCCGTTCAGCCGCGAGCCAGGCCGGGTGCCTTTCTTGCTGGAGGCGCAGCGGGGCTGCTACACCTGGTGAGGGGCACTAGAGCTCACACCTTAAAGAGGGAAAGGATTACAGGAATGTGGTGTGGAGGTGCCTGAACATTATATCCCTGGGTGGGATATACCCTAAATCGTGAGGCTCTTTAAGTAAGAAATTAACTAGGATGGGAGTCTCATGCCTTCCCTCTTGAGACAGACAGTGCAAACAACTGTTGGTACAGGCAAGCCCTGTCAGACACTGTCGGCATTCATTTTCCCCAAGTTGAGGGATTTATGATGGAAACAGGAGCAGGTGAAGTGAGAGCCACATTAGAAGACCCTGACAGCAACGACAAATAGAGTTACAAGACATGATTCATCATGCCTAGAGATCTGCCTATGCGATGATGGACGTGTAAAGATACAAAGTAGTCAATTCTGGGATAATGATCTTCTGACTATAAGAGAACCCAATGGCAGGCCATGTGGTTACCTGAATTGTAAGGTAGCTTAACTAAAGTGATACCAGAACATTTGTTTTAAATGAAAGCAGGTTCCTCTTCCAGTATCTTTGCAGAACTGAGGGTTTGACTATGGCTTTGCGCATGCTAGGCAAGCTCTCTACTAAGGAACTACATCCCTAACCCCTTCCCTGCATCTGTGAGAAGCAGTGAGTTTTTTTTATCCCAGAGTACAAGAATTTCAAGTCCCATTTCATGAAGAAGTATAAGGAACATAGGCTTGGAGGGGACCCATTGTGATGGCCATCATTCAGGGATAGTTCCACTATAGAGAGAGCTTTCCACCCAGCCAAGATACAAATGATTGTTTTGTATTTTTGTTGGGTGTCAGGAAGTAGGCAACTTTTCCATCTTAGATAGCTATGCAATTTCTAGGCTTACAGGAAATTATTTCTCAAGGTAAGAGGAAGCCTTATCGGGTTGCAAACACAGCCCCGATATTATTTTCCCACCATGTGAGTCTTGTTTCCTTTTTTGAGACAGGGTTTCTCTGTGTAGCCCTAGGTGTCCAGGAACTCACTCTGCAGACAAGGCTGGCCCCAAACTCACAGCGATCAGCCTGCCTCTGCCTCCTAAGTGCTCAGATTGAAGATGTGCACCACAGCCCAGTGTAATCTTTTAAACATCCTGGGAAGAATATAACATTTTAGATCTTTGCACAAGAGATCACTGGGGAAGGGTTCTGATCAGTGCTCTGTTTTAATTCTTGTGTCCTCTGACAGTTCTGCTCTTCTGGAGTGTCATCAGGCATACTTTGTAGTGTGTAACATGGGAGAAGTACTGACATTTCTTCCTTATGCTGCCTTGACCCAAGCATTTCATGCTCTTAACCATTTTGTCTTGGAAGGCATTCCACTCATCACGATGCAGTTACCATTGAGCCTTTATATAAAAATGGCACCTCTTGTTCACAAAGAGCTGTTCTTGTTGCTGAATCCACCCAACCAATCCGCCTCAGCAGCATTATTCTTGCTCGAGAAGTAGGTATGTGATGGGATTTGTTTGTTTGGTTTTTGTGGCTGTTGTTCTTTGAGATAGGGTCTCACTACATAGCCCTGGCTGACCTGGAATTCAGTATGCAGAGCAAGCTGGCCTCTGCCTCTTGAGTGCTAGGATGGAAGGTGTGCACTACCACGTCCAGCCATTTATTTGGAGTTCTGAGACAGTGTTTGCCTGGCCCTGGTAAACACTATGTAACCCAGGCTGGCCTTGAACTCACCTTCTGTGTGCTGAGATTAAAGACGTACATTACCATACCTGGCAAGAAAAGGGTATGTTAGAAGCAAAGACGAGTAAGATGATGTCTTATATAAGGGATTTAGTACTACCATTTTGACTCTGTTTTGCCTGTAGGGTAAACCACAGTTCAAATTCCCAAGCCCTGGGGAACTGGGAACGTTCCAGTGGCTGACCAACCTCCTCATTAGACAATAGAAATAGTCTATTATGCTCCTAGTCCTCTAAAACATTATGGCTGTTTCTAACAACAGAAAGAACAAATGGATCTGATTGGTTGGACATTCTGGGTTGGTTGACAATGATGGAACACATAGGGAAAGTCCCGCATCTTGAACCCCTGATTGGTGAAAAATGTAACTGTAACTTGGCAACAAATGTTTATGGTTTTTCTGCTTATAAACCCTATTTCTGTCCCTGCTCGGGACTGTCAGGAGAACAAGGCTCCCGAGTCCTTGTCCTGCTGATTGATCAGGGCTGCTATGATCCATCATCGACCAGCTTATGTGGTGATTTATTAAAGTCTTTGGGACTCGTAAGTCTTGTCTCTCTCCTTCCTCATGGTGCACGGGACTGAAATTAACATCTACACATAAGCACCATGATATGTGTACCTGTGTATGTTATGTGTGCACCATACACACACAAAATGAATATGATTTAAAAATTTAATGGTGTGATTTTGCCATCCTATTTATTTTTTGTTTTGTTTTTGAGTGTTTGATTGTTTTTGAAACATGGTCTCACTTATGAAGATCAAGTTTCTCCCAAACTCATAGAGATCCACCT